TATTCGTTTAATGAGCTAACTGTTGAATGTTTAAGAATAGTCTAAATCAGCTAACATGCTTTTTGAGACATGATAATCATCCAATAATAACGAACTAACTGGACAGAGTTACTACACCATTTTTTAGCAATACATAGACAGTTCGTCCACTAAGCTACTGTCAGATGTTCCATTATATATATTAAACAACTACATGATTCTAATTAGAGGAAGCTAAATAATGTATATATACAAATAAAATTCAGAATATTACTAAGATAAATTCAGAACTTCAACTATTCATTTCATATTCATGCTTCATGTTTCAGTTTACAGTAACCAGGGTGTCAGTTGTGTACCTGATATTGGAAGCAAAAGAAAAGGAAGATCAGCAGGAATGCAGTAGCATACAACAACAGCAACACCCAGCAACAAATTTAAAAACCGAGCAGAAAGCCAGCAACAACTAGTGAAGTAGTAGCAAATAACCGACCAAACTCAAGAAAACAAATCAAATGAAAATCCAGAAACACCCACAACAATTAACGGGCAGAAATAAAGTGAATCTTTTTTAGATTGAAAGACCAGTTAATGTTTAACCCTTAATTTCTGACCCCTCTGTATATCCAGTGTATGCAGATTGTATATCCAGTGTATACTGCTCTCTCTTTCGAATCTCCTTCAAAAAATTTCCTCAATATTCAGCCAATCTCCTATCCCCTTTCAATATATTCGGAATTCTTTTCTTTAATATTCAGGAAAACCTTTTTTTTCTTTGTGTCCCGCCCCCAAGATTTTAAAAGTCCTCCTTTAATTCTGCCCAAACTCCCCTTATTTATGTCCAAACAGACCACTTTAAATAATTAAAAAAATAAATAAGAGGTTCCATCTTCTTGATCCTCGTAATCCCACTACTACATGTCTTTTCCTTATTCAATTCCCTTATTGCCCCACTACCGCATGCTTTGTCCCCCACTATATTAAACAATATATTAATTCCCCCCATTATGTCTTGTCCCCCACTACGTATTATTTTAATATTATTGACTACTTAGTGGACAGAGTACTCCGTAATTATTTTTAAGACTCATTTAAAATCCCGAAAATGCCCTTGAAAATACTTCAATTTACCATTCTACCCCTGAAAATACTGCAATTTACCATTCTACCCCCATCAACTATAACCAATTCACCTAATCAATCTAAACAAAAATACAGCAGCTATAACCAATTTCTAATCAAATTTCATCAACAAATTTAGGCTAGAAACTCAATATTTTTGACTGAACAATATTTTTAACAACAAACATACTTTCAGATTCAATAACAGTAACAAATTGAACATAACAAACAAGTAGATTGAAATCACTAAACTCAATAATCAATTGAACTTTAAATTAAATCTAACAACATGATTAAACTAAACACTTCTATATCAAAACTAAACAAGAACATAAAACAAACTGAAGAAATAATCAAGAAATGATAACAACGAACAAGAAGAGAATCAATCATATACTGATTTCAAATCCTAGAATATAAAACAAAATACGGACAGAAATGAAACTTAAACCAACTGACCGGAAATGACTAACGACGAACTCGAACGGAAATGGCAAACTCGAACCAAGACTATCAACGACCTAACGGATCTCGACTTTAACGACAACCCACCTTCTCTTTTAACCTCGACGAACTCAGAACGACAAACGACGACCTCAACGGATTGAACCTGAAGAAACGACGAGACAACAAGTTGTTTGGACGTGAGGCAGTGTGTATTTGAGCAGCAGCAGCTATGGCGGGCTGGCTGGAGCTGCGACTGGACGAAGCAAAACCCGATGGGGTTCGTTTGGACGTGAGGCTGTTTAGAAGATAGTCGTTTGGGACCTATGGGGACGAAGAAGAAGAAGCAGCAGCGGTGGTCGACAGGTTTTTCCGGCGACTTGAGGGGTGTTGTTCGTTGATGAAGATGGTGCTTGGGCAGCAGCTGGTCATGAGGCTGCAGCAACACTGCTGCACATCAATGGCGGACGTGAGGAGGAGGCTCACGGACAGTGGTGAACGGAGCAGCTGCCATGACGAAGAGGATGAAGA